GGGGGGGGGGGGTTCTTATCTGCTGCCTGGCGTTCTGGCTTGACCCTGAAGGAGGGGACTTAAATATTTATTTATGGCCCATAGAATGGAGGATAACTTGAGGAATCTGCATTTCAGAGCCTGTTCCTTCAGGCCCTCAGAATCCTACTTGGAGACTTGTGGATTCTGTCTCCCAGAGATGGGAGACCCTAAGCTGAAAACTGCCCTCTTCCTCTCTCCTCCACCTCAGGATCCTGGGACTTCTGAATTCTTTGTTCTGATGCATGCTTTGCTTCGAAGGGGAAGTGGTAGGTTGGCACTGTAGGAAAGGTGGGTGGGGGCTGCTGGGATAAGGGAAGTGGAGCATTTGGGGAACTTGGGAAGGGTAATGAAAGTCGTTGAGACAGTTGTTGAGGATGCTGACCACACTGTCAGGAGCCATCTCAGAAGAGACGACTGGGTGGGTGGGTCATCCTGCAGAAAATTGTGTCAGCACCAGTGCAGCCACCCTTGACCACACCATTGCTTGTGACACATGCATTATTTCTTAGTTTATTCCTCCTACGAGCTGGCCCACCCAGAGCTGAGGAGCAGGCGTGGGGGGCGAGGATGACCGGTCCCCACCCACATTGAGGCCACATGCAGAGGGGTCTGCAGAGAGGTTTGCTGGATAGATTCTTGAAAGGCATGAACCTTAGTGATCCATCTCAAACAGAAGCCCAGAGGAAAAGCCCTCCTTACAATGTTTCTACCCCACCATGGCTGTTGAAGGGCAAATTCATAGGTAAGAAGACAAACAGGTTTCAAAGAGGATGGGGCAAAGTAAGACCAAGGATTAAAAAAGGGTCCTCAGCTCCAGGGTCTGTCTGTTACCCGGCAGCTGTTGATAGCAGGAGAAGCTTTGTTGTGACCAGGACAGTTTTTATTTGCTAATTATTATGCAGAGGTGGCATCAGGGCAGGCAAGAGCTGCCCGGTGACTGGTGCCCACCACAGAGCTATGTACACAGATTCATCTAACTGCGATGTGCACCCAGAAGCATACGTGATCATTCTTCCTGTTTCTTTTCTTCTCTCTCTTGCCTTCTCTTGTATTTTCTCTTTCCAGAGCATATGAATTGTGTGTGTGTGTGTGTGTGTGTGTGTGTGTGTGTGTGTTGGCCTGTGGTCCACCCATAAGCCTGCTCCTGGGCCAGGGCCCCCCTGGTGAGTCCCCACCTTGGAGCTTCAGAATATACCAAGGTCCAGATTGCCTGGGCCTCTCTGCTCCCTCAGACTCCTCCCTGATGGCTGCACTCAAGCTGTTGCTGCCACCACCTTTCAGCTGTGATGCTAACCAGCCTCCCGCCTCCTGCCTCATGGGCGCTGATTCAATTAGCCAAGGTGCCCACCTCCTGCCAGGGCCATTTATAAAATCAGCTGGGGCAGCTGGAGACGTCAGGGAGGGCAGGGCTGGGAAGCAGGGGGGAGGTCGGTGCGCTGGGTGTGGGAGATAGAAGAACAGGGGGTCTGGCAGGGGAACCTGATTCGATTAGCTATCAGGCTGGCTTCCCTGAGCAGGCGGCTGTACATCATTGCCCTGCTCTGATCCTCAGCTCCTAGGCCGACCTGATGCTGGCCAGCACAGAGCAGGGTCCACCCGTCTCCAGCCTCTCTTTCTTGCTTCCCTCCCACCTCTGCAGCCCTCTTGACACCATCAGCTCCTGGATTCCTGGGCCAGAGGTGGCTGGTGTATTTGGGAGGAGTGGAGAAGGAAGCAGGGGGTTCTGAGGGATTTGTGGGGAAGCTGGAGTCCCAGGGTTGGGTTAAGTAATTCTGGGACCTGCACCCCAGGGCAGAGTCAGCCCTGTGCTTTCAGGATTCTGATCAGAGAGGGCTAGCTGGGGGGTGGACTGAAGGTATGTTCTTGAGTTCCTACAGCATTTTCTCCTGTACAGACTGCTCTGGGGGCAGTTTAGTGTAGTCCGCCAGGCACGTAGACTGTAGCCTGACTACCTGTGTTCAAGTTTTGGCTCTGTTGCTTGTTGTGTGTCTCTGTGCATCTGTGTCCACATCTGTAAAGTGGAAATAACATGTTTTTCAGAGGATTGCTGTAAAGACAAGTGAGCAAATGAAAGCCCTCCTCTAGAATGGTGCCTGGCACATGCAGAGCCCCAGGGTTATCCACCATCTCACCTCACTTTCCAGTGGCTCCACAAGGCCAGCAGGGCAAGATGTCCCTGTTTTACAAGCAAGGGAATGGAGACCTAGACAAGCAGAGTGAACTTAGGGGGTGCATTTAGGCTTTGTGGAAGTGGGAGACCTGGTTGGCAAGGAGAGGTAGGATTTTGATAGGAAGAAAGAAAAGTGGAAAAGCATTCCAAGAGACATGAGGGGACTAACATCAAAGG